ATGGACATTGACACTAGGGTGCGGTAGTGAGCCCTGTCCACTTTCGAACAAAGAATTGAGCCATCTCCCTTTTCATCTCTGGTATGACCTCACAGTTCTACGACCAAAACGCTCCCGGCAGACTGAGAGGATTCCAGGACGGCGCTGACGAGTTCGGACCACGGTCGTATATACAATGGTGGTGGGGGTACAGCTCTTAGGAGTTGCCAGTCAAGCTTTGCTAATTCGCCATGATACATAGTGCGCTGCGATCGAGTTCAGTTGCCGCAGAGGCAGAGACAAAAGTTTTTGAAATTCTAATTGTGATCCCCGTCACGATCACTTTTGAAATTACTCTTTTGTTATTTAAAAATGTCGTGGTGTATCGTGAAGAATTGTATTAAAAATAATGAAAATAGAAATGACAAAATTCCAACATTCCAAGTGCCTCGGGATGAAAACNTTGTACAGTACCTTATAAAATTATATTCATTTTTCAATGCGTTTTTTATGAGAAGGTTCGACAAGAAGACGGTTACATAAAATGGGAGTATTTTAAACACCTTTATGATGTTGATACGTCTCTGCCTGGGAACGCAAGACTGTGTCCAAAGATTTCGAGGAGACACGTTGAGTTGGACAACACGGGTAAAATGCGTGTGAAATTTGCAACGCAAGTAAGATAATCTCTCGTTTTATCTTCCGTTTTCCAAAATGTTAATATTCAAAATTTTAAATTGGACTTGTACCATGTTGTATACCATGGAATTATATGCCTTTCAATGGGTAATTTTGTGTATTCTTAAATATTCAATAGCATATATTTCTGAGTATTATGTTGTATTTATTTGTTGTAGATTTTCAGTAAGCCCGTAGCCGTTGGCTTACAAATGTATCGGTTACGAAAGTACAAAGAATTTGATGGCTGCGAAGCGACTGCTGATTTTTCTCTCAGACTGAACAATATTTTCGACGCACTCAACCGAAAACAGCCAAATGAAGGACTTACACCGATATCTCCGGATTACAAGGTTCGTTGTTCTTAATTTGTATTCATTATTATATGTATTTTACACCATTTGTAACTTGCATTTTATAAATAACTTTGATAAATACTTTTATAAAATATGTTATTCATCTTTGGTAAATCATTTAAAAACATAAGTTGCTTATGAGTCTTAAAATGTGAAAATAGTTCTTTAAACAGTCCTTATTCCTTTTGCACGATTTTGTTAACTGTAGGTATTGACAGACACTCTTGTATGGCTTAATGAATGGGAGAACAACAGTAATAGAAATATCATCCCGGAAATAGAATTTCTGACTAAAGAGACAGCACACGGTTTACGG